CAATTGCAGTCCTAAACAACAATGAGAAGATACAAGTAAACAATATTAACTGAATTTGGAACAATAAACAATTTCATAAATAAATTATTCAGTTTCGAGAAATTAACATTACCGAAATCATGTGCTCATTCAATCCAAGTATTACCGATATTCACAGCAGAATTCACCCCATAGTTACTTTTATTATATTACATTATATTATTAAATTATCATTTAAATATGAAATAGATATTTGCTTCAGTAAAGTTTAAAATCATAATTCACTTTGTTTTAAAATCATAACAATATGTTATTTAACTAGAATTTTCACAGTTAATCAAATCAACGAATTCAAGGAAAATTATCTTCTATGTTAGAAATTCATATTATATTTCTGATATACTTTACTTTAAATAGAGAGTTTTGATTAAGAGAACTAGAGAAGTAATTTGCATTACTGTAAACAATAATAACACAATTTTATGACTATATAAACACGTATAACAATAACAACAATTCTCAAAGGATATTGTATGTCAAGAACTATCATCATTATTCCATATGAATTCTGGTTAGGATGTAAAAAGTAATATTAAAAATGTTATATTCCGATTAAGCAAATATTACGACTATCACCATTAAATATTTCCAAGAACTACAATTTACCACTTGAGATTATAATTTTCTCTCTTGAGATGTGATTATTAGGTGATAATGTCAAGTGTTGAATGGACATAATTAAATGTAAATGTGATATCTTAAATCTATCTATTAGCAGAAGTAACAGAAGTATACTGGTGAGTTGGCAGGAATGAATTAAATCTCGGTGGATTTCACAGTTATGGCCACTTAGTAACATGATACATTTATCAGTAATTGTAGAATGAATACATCTGTATAATTTTTATTCCATGATCGGAATACAGATAACAAATATAACAGACCTCAATAGTTTATTATTGATGTTCACACTGTTTTTTATTTGTATGTTATTTGACTTGGTGGTAACATTCAATTTAAGTTAGCTTCTATGATAAGAGTTTGAGTAAGTATCCTCTTTTAGGTAGAAGATTCCTATTACTGATCAACATCAACAACTATGAATGAAATATCATGTGAAACAGTTAACCTGTTTCATTCAAGTCAATGAATTTTGGTAGACAAAGAAAATATTGAATTGATCCAGTTTGGTACATTATTATTATTGTTATTACTATTAAATTTCGTCATTTTATGTTCAGTTACCAAAAGTTGTACAAGCTGTTTCACTAGTTCAATTTCCCTACATCTCGATGGATGGTCTACTATTTTATTTACTCTTTTCACAGGTATACATCTAATGAGGATATATGTGGAAAAAAACGTGAAAATTATGTTAAGTTTATAGCTATTCAGCTTTATACATGTAGCCAACCAGAATATAAGCCAACACTCATAAATTTAATAAATTACCATCAGTTATTGCTGTAAGTATTAATTTGAAGCCAGGTTCCATATCCATTGATGAAGATGATGAGAATGTTGTTGATCTGCAAAAATTTAAAAAAAGGAGTATGAATAACCATAATATTCATTAGACAATAAGAGAGTCGCATGATTTATGAAGATGATTTTATGAATTTTTATACGTAGCTTGAGAACTATTATAAAGATAAAATACAATAAAATGGTCATATTGTTTTTACAGTATAGGTATCAGCGATTTCCATTTTTCATTTCATATGAAAATCAATGGTCTTCAGCTCATTTATGTTCATGATCCTTGATCTTGAATACCAGTCCGTTTCAAACTAGAAACAAAATTAGCTCGTGATATGAAAATTCAATCAGAATAAAATAGGTTGAATTAAAATTTGACTCTTGTCAGCAATTAAATCAAGGCTCTAAGTTTTGCATTATTTAGTACTCGTCAGCTGAATGTTGCTATATCCTAGTATTGATGTTCCCATTGAGATTCCAAGAAAGTACGTTTTGTTCCAATTACTAATGCGTTTTCTACTAAGCTACCGAATCCATTTAGTTATTGACTTATTTAGTGAGAATAAAGCTATTTGGTGGAAACTGATAAAGTAAAATCATAAATACAAACTCTTACAAATAGATAAAGCAAGGAGCTTATGATCTTGGTTAATTCTACAGCTGTTTACTATCTGTAACGAAAACAGCACACAAATTATACAAATCTTGAAATAACAATCCACGTCAATCAACAAATAGCGAATACAAAATATTAATCTATTGAAATAATAATCTAATAGCGGATTTATGTCATTTGAAACTTGAATAATCATGAAGCCGAATGCAGTAACACTTCATTTACTGCAGTCATCTTAACGTCATCTATTCTCAATGTTATCTAATGTTGAGTACAAAAATACGTTGTTTACTAAAGTTTCAAGATAAAACTTTTGTCTAATTACTCTTCGAAGTTTCGATATTGTCTTACTTCTAATTAGAATAATACTAGCTAAATACAGTTGCATAAACTAATGATTTTAATCACCATCTGGATGATGTATCAATCATTACCCATTAGTTTGTTTTGGTTTATTGAAGTTAATCAATCATTTTACTGTCTATTTTTCTTTTAAGAAGCTGGTAACTACAGTGTCGGAAACATTGTATTGTTCTCTGCTTACTCAACGGTATGGATTAAAAATTCATCATTTCTGATTGTACACTAAAATAAGTTATTCAATATTCGTTTGACTTTTTTTTTAACTGACATATTTCAATATTTTTATCAGTACAATGTTGTATAAATATATTTTAGGTCTATTGATTCATACAAAATAGATGTTAGTCGCGATAACAATGTGTGGATTGATTAGTCACTGAGCAACAACAAATATCACGTTTGTCTAACATTTAGTGCTGGTTGAGTCCTGCCAATCAAACTGAAATGCGAAAACTCGCCATAAGGAGATAAGTTATAATAAATGCAATAAAATTATAAAAGTAAATAGAGGGGCTGAGCATACTTTCTTAAAATACACACGTAAAATTCTATTGGTCAGAATTAATAGGCCTTAGAAATGTAGAGTAAGTGTTATAATACTCCCTTTGTTAGATAGTTTGGAACTTGGTGAAGTATTGAAACGCGGCCTACTATTGTGAAACAATGTTCAATATTTATCAGACAAGAAGTCGATATAATTGTTTGAAGTATTTCAGTTAATAAACTGGTCACTGGGTAGAAATAATGATCACCACCCAATAACTATGACGAGGTGTCTTCTGCTTATTGCATTTATTACGGAAACATTTATATAATACGAGGTTTTAGGGTTTTAATGTAACATATAATATAATAGAAAGTATATGAAGTGAAATGAAAAACTTCGTGAATAAACTGTCCATTTCGCAAAACTGTTCACTTCAAAAATCATTCCACTAAGGTACAAGTATTCTCCATCATTGCACTGGTGAATTTTAGTTACTAGCATTGTTCCCATCTCTTATAACAGTGGCATAAAACCATAGATTAAGTTAATATTATTAAAACGCATTAAAAGGGAAATAAACCTTATTTTACATTTTATAGTTCACGAAAGAACTCTTACTGTGACGAACTTTATTTCGAACATGTTCAAAGTATTTAAATTCGACATAATTATTTTATCATAATAAACGTCAAGCCATAATATTAAGGGACTGGATCTAAAAGCTTTATTTAAAAGGTGTAGTAGTTAGTTACACAACACCACATACAAAATATACTTTTTAGTGAAAATCGTAGTGTAATTGTGCTACTTCATTTGTAATTTAACTGTTATAACTCGTGCCCTTTGTCTTAATAATGTATGACGTGATGATACTGCTAATTAGGGAATAGTGAATTATCGACCGAACCAATGACGCATAAAACAAGTACGAGCACCCTAGAGTCCTTGCCGTTCCTACTTCCCGCCTAGCCCTGTCTGTTAAGTCCAGAACACCAACCTCAGCCTCTGCTATATGAATTATTTATTTCAAGCATACTGGGTTTATATACCAACCAAACAGACCACATCGTACCATAATCTAGGAAACAACATTTGTACAAGATTTAGGGGAAAGTGTGTGTGGATGTGAGAGATAGTGATTGATAGAATGGGCATAACTCAAGAATGGTAAATCGTATAATAATAGTTCGCAGGTCAAAATAAAGCTAACAATAAGAGGAAATGATTTTTCAGCAGTCTATCTTACTACAAATGATTAACTAGAGAAGTTTAAAATAAACATTTTACTGAAAGCTATTTAAATAAAACAAACATTCTTAACTGAACGAAACAAAATCCAAGAAATGGTGAGGTATTCACCGCCGAAAAAAATATTAGTGATAGAGTTTTCTTACGTGTTACTATAAGAAAACTATAAAAAAGCCATAGTATATATTTATTTCATCAGTTCATTTCTTGGATCAAATCTTTCACGTTGATTGTACTATAAGGTGAATTTTCTTCAGTAAATGGCACCAGCTAGTGAACCAGTGAAAACCGTGAAGTATTGAAGTAGTAAGCTGTTCTGATTTGAGACAACACAACAGGATATACAAATGACTGTACATAAAATCAGATTGTGAAAGTTCGGCTCTCTTTATGACCATGACTTATTTACAGTACTGAATATAGCTTCAGTTCCTTGTATTTCCAACTTCAGAAAACTCACAATATATAACAACCATTTTCACAGATTTAAATCATGAGTCAGTTGAAGCTAGACCACCATTGAAAACCTGGAAGCCCCGTGTGGTGCAGGATCGTGGATGCGCACTGCTGAGGAGTCCCATACTAAGACGAAACGGCCGTCCAGTGCTTCCAGGTTTTCAATGGTGGTCTAGCTTCAACTGACTCATGATTTAAATCTGTGAAAATTTCTAAAAATCTCCACAAACCCCTTCTGATATAACAACCATCACATGATAGCATCAACAGTATCCATCTTAGCCGTATAACAATGAAACATCATCATTCATTACTGTTCCCTTGATCCTCGGATATCCATGTGGGACTCAGTCCTCACATTGGATGAATCTCCAGCAACTATATGACTAAAAATTAGTTCAATCGTGTTGTTATTCTGAATTGGTCAACATATTATATTCGTTTAAATAAACACTCGCCGGAAATCAGACAAAACTGGATAAGAAATCAGAGGCTACTATATATCAGAACAAGCTGTGAAACACATATGGAGAAATTAGAACACTATTTCTATCTGAAGTTTGTACTAATGATGTCGTTGAGAAAAACGATGAAAGCTCCACGACCGAACCATCCAGCTCAGAGAACAAAACTTCATCAAAATCATCCACCTGAGCTGCAAATCTTCACCATCTGAATATCATTCTTATTTTCATATGTTCTCATTTATTTAACGTTATATACTAACTTGACATATCTGTTTACTCACAAAAAGATATAAACCCAAGTCACAGTTGTGATTTGCTTTTTTCAAACTACTTTTTTAAATAATAAGATAATGATTATCAAACTTTTTCATGGTCTATCAGCAACTGTCATCAATGTTATATGTCATCTAATATAAATTGATATGACTTTTTAACTGAAGTGAATAGTCAGTGTAGGGAAGAACACATTGTAATATCATTTGATATTTTAAAAAACCTTAGTAAATGTCAAACAAAACAGATTTCAAGAAAAATTCCTCTGATTTTCTCTTATTTTTCCCCCATATTTACTTAGATACTTCAATCACTAATTCATGTGTAGTTCAAAAAATTATTGTACATTAGGCCAATTTAAAGTCTATCTGTAAAATAAGTAGAGTAAAACCTTACTAGGCTTATTTGTGGTTGCAAAAAAATGTGTCTTATTGTCTTTCATTTCAGTCGTCAAGTTACTATTTATCAGTATTCTTTGTACTTATCACCACTTTCTGATGACAGACTACTTTTAAGTTGTCTCTAATTATTCATTTTGCTTGGTAGTACGAATAGTAATGATGAACTATTGAACATACTTTAATTGACAAGTTGAACCAAATATGGAAGTATTGATAAAAAACCTATTTTAAATAAGCTACATTGAATTTTTTAATAAAAAAAGTTAAAGTCAATGCAATTTATTTATACTATCCTATGTAGACCATTAGAAAACTTCTAGATGTGAGTTATATTCTCATTAAACTTTGTTAATAAATGCAATCCATTTATTTGCAATTATAATCAACGGTAAAACATAAGTTCTTACAATCAATAAAAGCCTATAGATTATTATCTGCCTAGCTTAAAAATTCCCATTAAGTTACTCAGAAACAAATCTAGTACATAAAATAATCGAAACAAAAAACATTTCATTTCTAGATACAATTGTTAGTATAAAAGAATAGGGATAAATAGACAATCATTATCAACCAAATTGATAATCCATTGTCAGATTACATACATAATAGCACCTTTGCAAATTAAACATAAATCGCTTTCAATAATTCTCAAAAAAGGGATTTACATCAATATCAATTCAATTAAACCACTGTTCATTAGTATGAAAAAAATTCCCTTTTCAAACGGAGGTGACTTTTTAGCTAAACGAAAGAATAGAGAAAGAGTAAACAGTCGATTTAGTTATTAGAATAAGTACAGATAGTTGTCGTGATAAAATTTTGATTCAATTGAGTAGATAATGTCAAGAGCATGAAAGGCATTTTATGAAATAGCTGATCACTTCATGGAAAAATACCAAGACTAGACAATTTAACATTTTTTCCGACTAAATATGAATTTCAATAGTTGAAATCATGAGTCAATTGAAGCTAGATCTCCATGGAAAAGCCGGAAGCACTGACTCCTCAAAAGCACACATCCACGATCCTGCACCTTCGAGATTCGAATCCAGAACTTATCAGTCTCGCGCGCGAGCGCCTAACCATTAGACCACTGAGCTACATACCTCGGTGTTAATGTCCAACTTTGACCAATCCACCAAATTGCGCCACCGTACACCATTGTCTTCAGTGAGTTGATATTTCACAACAGACTTGGTTGAACTCCACTGGTCACCGCTTCTCACTAGAACTCCAGGAAATGCCTCGTGAAGTCAGTCACTAGTGAGAAGATTATTATTATTATCAGAAGGGGTTTTGTGGGGACTGATAGGTCCTGGGTTCCAATCTCGAGGGGGGGGCAGGATCGTGGATGCGCACTATTGAAGAGTCTCACAATAGAACGAAACGGCCATCCAGTGCTCCCAGGTTTTCCATGGTGGTCTATCTTCAAATGACTCGATTTCAACTATTGAAATTACTAAAATCTCCACAAAACCTCTTCTGACAAATATGAAATTATTTATAAGGCTTCAGTTATATTACAGGGCAGACCTTAAAAGCAAAACAATGTGCGATAAGGATTTGAATGAGTGATCTCTAATTCAAATATTTTAATGGCTTATTACTTTTTAAAGTTCTTTATTCAATCTTTAAAATCAACAAACCCTTTTGAACAGTATCCTGTTGAATAATGTTTTACTAGATAATAACCAAGTAATAACTATGATTGTGTTTCAGTGCTTACTGATAAGATATAATTATTTGATAACCAGTTGCAATACATAAATGAATCAACATTGCAGTGAATATATTCAGATACACACAAAGTTAATTTCATACTTCGCCTAATTACGTCCAACTATTCTGCTTTGTCTCATACTTCATAAACTTTATTCTATAGAATATAACAAATAAATGGTTTTCATGTAAAAGCTTGATAAAAATAATTTCAATATTAGATGGCTAACAGACTTTTTCTAACCCTAGTCATTAATTCATTATGAATCACTGCTGATTTCACATAGTTCTAACATTTTAACATGTTGACTACAAGCAAATTTATTTTTTCATATATTGTTTTCCTGTCTCAATGAAAACTTATTAAAAATGACTGACAGTAATGGTGTTAACGTTTCTTTGTTGTTTTTTATCTCGAGATGTAAAGAATAATGCATAGCTGTCTATTGGCTGAAACAATATTTAAAAATGACTGATTTATTTTATTATAAATATAGTGGTATGCTTTTATAGAATGCATGTGAAAACCTTTTTTAGTTTATCCAACGGACAGAAAAATCGCTAAAACCCTTAGGTAGTGGGAGTGTGCTTTGTCTTATTATCCTGTAAATCCAGTAGCGAGCATCTATAACTCTTCCTAGGAAGGGAATCTGAACCTTCATATCTAGTTCTTTAACTATATAGGCTTTCAGACCACTGAATCTCTATCTAATGGTTCACATTTAAAACACGTCATTTTGAAACATTACTGAACTATGATCCATTTTCACTAGTGATACCTGTCTTATTTCAACATCGTTGAACTTTATGGATTACAGCTTCTGTTTGAAAAGATGTACGGGATTCTGTTCATTTTGGTGACTACCTAGATAGAGTTACTCAGAGATGCAAATAACAGTACCTCTCCCTATACTTGCAATACATTTGGGATATCGTGCGATAGTTATTCATTACTGCTGCTTCTCAATGGTTATCCAGCCAACTTAAATTACAGTAGTAATCATTACTAACAATATATTTCATGATTTTTAGGGGTCTGTACAATACGGTTGAGGATGTTCAGAAGTAAATCTCATTATACATTGTTGACATACAAGTTTTTAAATTGGTGTTTCGATATTGCTTACAGTTATGCTTTTATAACACTTTTCGATGATACTTATCAGCTGATGAGTCTCAAGTAAGATGAAGCATTTGTCTTTGGAGTCACTGCTATTCATTAGGCAGAAAATAATATTTTATTTGACGATTTCGAAATAAAAAAACGGTTTAATTCTAATAATATTAAAAATCTCAATACGCACAAATATTTATGACTCTGTGATTGAATGATGACGACCAATAATCTCATGTAAAACGTAGACGCAGTCATATCTTATAATAACGATCTTTGGGAATTTAAATGACGAGGAATTAATAATTTAAAGATATTAATTAACTGAAAAGTATAGTAGTCTTCTGTAGTGCACTGATAAGCGAATTTACATAAGTATAGCAGAGCTGCAGCAAAACTATTATGACTAGTATCAATCGGAGCGAAAAATTTGGTTTCAGCACACTGAAAACAAACGGCTATTTCAATTAGTCAACAACTACTTTCTTCAGCAAACGTGGTGTCAAATTATTCAGGAAAACTGAACATCTATAAGGTCACAGGAAATCTCTAGTTGCCGACAGATATCAGCTTATGGAAAGATAAAATTATGTAAATAATATATGTTTTCTTTGAAAGTTTACACTTTTACCCTCACTTAGTGTTAGATGAAGTTGCTGTAGGTTACTTCGAAATACTATCCAAGTGTTGATAAAGAAATTAACAATCCAACATCGTTGAATGTAACTATTTAAAAACGCAGGCAGACCACAGAACAGTTATTTGATTCCGATGTTTTTGTTGTTACTCACTTTTTAATCTAGTCCATAGATCATAAATTTAAACCAGATTTTTGAAAATTCAACTCAATTATTAAAATTTATATGCCACTTTCTGTCTTATCTTCTACGAAATTAATACTGATGTAAATCTATAGCTACATATATCTTAAAAGTTACCAGTTTTTATAATTCATCTTTTGACTTAACTTGGTATAAATGAAGTGAGCTAATGTTTGATTCATAGGAGCGGTCGAATGTTCCAGTGAACAGATTAGAATGCGTTTTTGCCATATTCTCTAATATTGGTTATAAATTACTGTTGTCAAATCTTATAATTCTTTTCCAAGTGTATTCTTAAACTGTATACTTGTTAACCTGAATCAAATTTGTCACTCAATAATATTACCAAACTATTTTCAAGCACTGAAATTTAATTTTATATACTTTAATAAAATATTACTAGGCACTATTTTCAGTTAACTAATAAGCACAAATCTATCAACTGACAAGACTAGATTATTAATCTAACTCATTCATTAAAATAAAGTGATTTATCTCCCTAATGTCTGTATCTCAATAAAATGTATCAGTGATAAGCCATGTACAATTAGGCATCACAAAACAAACTATCAAAACTTCATTTGAAGAATTGTATTTATGACAGTTAATTAGTGAATTATGTATTTATATAGTTATTATAATGACGATCGACAAGTTTAATTTGTAAAATCATAATACTTACCTGAATACAATTGTAACAAATGATTTCGTTGTGAAAATTGGTTGTGTAGGAAAATGATGCTGACAAAGACCTCTTTCACCACCGGCTTCTGCCTAAAATAAGAGATCAATAAAAATCATTTAGTTTCAACCAAAAAAGTGAAAATGATCTCTAATTGGAAAGAAAAAAAGAAGAGGGTAACAATTAGTTGGGAAAATTAGTTCATGTTTTTTTCAAATTTTCCAAATGATTATTTTCTTTATAAAGATAGATATTAAAACATGGATACACTTAATTATTTTTTTCGAAATCTTTTCATCACTCAATCAAACCGATATAAAAAGAAGTGCTTAATAGATCATGATCTCTGTATTTTTTAAATTCTCAATAATTACCAGAAATAAAAATAGTGTTATTCTTAAGAAGAGAAACGATACGTAATTTTATGTGATTAATTCATTAGCCATTTAAGTATAATCCTCACTTTAGTTGTGACGATTAGTTATACTACTATCCGGTTGTTCAAATCAAATTAAGTGAAGTATGGTTTGATTGTCTGGTTGAAATAAATTCATAACGAAAATGGTCTATAATAATTTTAACCTTGTTTTATTTTAAATTACATGCCAGCTAAAATTGATAAATGATTTACGTGAAAATATGTTTGTTTAACAATCTGGTTGATAAAACAGTACCCATTATTTCTCTTCATGCCATTATCTGCCATTAGTAACTAGAGTATCATTACATTTCTTGAAATCTAGAACAGAAAATTAGTAATGTTTCCTATATTTATGGATTGAAACTTTAGGTATTGTACAAGTCACTAGTTGATTGATTCTTCCTTATCATATAAATAATCTGAATGTACAAAGTTACCTTTAGAGCTTATCAAGGGTAAACAGTACTGATTGTTTCATCCTATAATATCTCCTATAATATAGAAGGCGAAGTATAAAGTTTCTTATTTTCAAACGTTATAGAGGGGTTACGTTAAACACCCATTATAAAACTGAAACTTTTGTGGGTCGAAAAATTTAATACTCATGGTTCACTGAATTACTTATATAGTTATTTGATGCATTAGATGCACGAACATTAATATCTACAGTTCGTTAGAAAGACTTGTATCAACGTTCTATACGTGACATTCTGATAACCTTCGTGGTTTGTAATGATATTTATGCCACTGAAAAAATACTCATTTTTTCTGACGTATGTAAATAGTGCTACACGAATACTTAGTAAATCTTATTTTTAACAACTTCAAGGATTAAAAACAAGAAAACATTTATTATGCATTAGAACTTTGATTTTTCCTTAAGAAATATTTATCTAATAGCTAATATATAAAGCTAATCGAACACCAAGCTTTTCAATGATAATCTCTCTAGTTTTTTTAAAGTAATCACACTCATTCCAAATTTTTCCATAAAAGTCAACACTAGGATCCAGGGAATTACTGAGTTTTCAATAGGAAAATTATATAAATATATAATTTCATGAAAGTACTTTTTTCAATAGGTATTTTAATGTTGTGTATAAGACTATGCCGAGCTAGCAAGAATAGTTCCATGTAACGTATAAAACAAACGTTTAATCAGTAACTATAAAACTAGTTGATAATCACTATGCTTGTCATTTATTGATCGGCATTATAAAGTTAAAAGGGATAAGTGTAAGAATTATTATAACTATATTTCCATTATGCATCACGAATTATTCAATATTGAAAATATTACTTCCTGAAACAAAACAAAAAATTAAGCGCGTTTTAGAAAAAAATAATCATCAGCATTTAAATGTAAAATGAATTTTATCACATAATTTTGATGTGTTAATTGAAGTTTCATATGTTTTGAATGTATTGGAAAATGGATGCTAATTTCGGACACGTTTTATCCATTCATTGTCATTTGAATTTAACTAGATCCCAATAAATAAAGATATTTCTGTATGAATATTCAAATCTCATAACCTGTTGAAATTAAACTATACAAACAGCATATCAACAACATACATAAAAAGTTTTGATAAATACCCACAAATATAAATCAATAATAATTATAACGAAATATCATAAAACAAACTAACCATAGCACGATACTGTGGTGTATTTGAATCAAATAAATATAGATAGTTTTCATCACATAATAAGTGCTGTTGTGATGGTATATAGAATGATTGAAATCTTATCATAATACGTGAATTAACACGTGAATGAACATAAATTTCACAACTAAAATTAACTGGATACTTATGATCAAGGTTGTTCTTTAATTGATTATGATTTGTTACAGTTTCAGTTGATTGTTTTAACACCTTTGTTGCCATTGTTGTTGTCGTCGTTGTGACTGTTGAATTTAGATGGTTTTTTCGATGTTTATGAGAAGCATATGATTGTGGAAAACTAGTTTCATCAACTGTTACAAATTTATTTGATAATTTAACTGATTTTTTGTGATTGTTAATATTAGATTTATTGTTTTGTTTAAATAAGTTTGATTTTGATTGATGTACATTTTTATCAATATTATCATATAGTTGAGCATAATTTGGATGAGAATAGATTACAGCTCCAGTTAATTCGAAATATAATCGTTTTATTGTCAATCCTGGTATATCATGACAATGTTGAGATAAATAGTCTAAATTTCAACGAAAAAAAGGCATTGAAAATCAATATTGTATAAGATATTGTGATAAGACTATAATTTATGAACGATCTTTGAACGACGCCTCAGTGACCTTGAGAATGTCCACGTGTTTACTAGGGATAAATGAGGGTCATATAGCAGTATGAAGAATAAGGATTAGGATTGCCGAATTATAACTTATGGATGAGCCGATCAGAAGCGTTTGACGGATTTCAAGGTCACAGCGCCAATTTCAGTATCTGATGCTCACGTACGATCGGTTCAGAGCGGATTTTAGAGAAAACATGATAATTGAGCGGCTACAACAAGTGGAATTACTAAGAAGTTATTTTACTTGTTACTGTGTTATTTAAATCATCTGTGGACCTTGTGCAGACTACCATGTTGATGTTGTCTTTTGATGTAATGTATTTCAGGGGGGAGGTCTGATAGGATAGGAACTTTTGTCGCTTGAGCTGGATTGAGACTATGGTAAATTATGATGATTGTTGCCAACTGCATAATGAAAGCACCAGCAACACTGGTTACAACATTTGCAGATGTTACTGAAGCTTCGGCTATTCAGTGGTAAGAGTATTATAGAGATATATGTGCAGTAAAAATGACGAGCTTTGATGAGTAGTTTGGGGGAGTAGGGAGAAACTTTGAAGTGTATCCACTCTTATTCTTTGGTTTTTCATAATATATATTTACCCTATATTTACTGTTTTCTGATTGGCTGATAATTCTAAGGGTCATTTAAGATTCATCCAAAGGTCGTCCATAAATTGTAATCTCACCGATTATGTTTTGCAGTTGATGGTTAGGGTTGAGAATTAGATTTATGACTTTCATCACGAAGTGACATCAGCTAAAATGTCAAAACACCATTTTAACAAATAAATGAATGAATTTCAAGTCAAATTCCGAGACCTGTTATCCTAAATCAGATTGGTTCGTCCATAAATTATCATCTCGTCGATAATGTTAAAATAAAATTGGCGTAACTGTTTGGAGGAAAAAAGCTAGTACATAATTATCACAATGCCGGAAATTACAAGCGCTTCAAGAGAACTTTATGATTTATTTTTACCTTACATAGTGGGCGTTAGCAACAGAGAAAACAATCTTTTACAATACTATAAGCGGAAAATCGGTTCAGAGCAATAACTGAATATTATTTTATCTTATCAAGGCTAAAATTCATCATTATGACTTAGCTGTAGTTTAAGATGAAAAATGAATAACCACAAATTAACGAGACATGAATACCATTCTAAGTTACTTTTAATCCAAACAGAAGTTGGTGTTCTTCATTAGATCTCATAGCGAAGTCCCATTTTATCGATTTAAACTACCGAACAAAAATTTATTTGTATATTTGTACTTAGTTATCATGAGACAATGTTCATGCAAAATTTATCCATCCATGTTGCTCTAAAATTGAGAGCTATAGATAAACGGTTTTCATCAGTTCCCTTTGTTATCTAACTCTCATTGGTTTTTAGATGTACAAGCGTAACGATTTGTAAAGAAGTTTAATGTGTTAAACACTCACACCGATAACAGTGTAATTTTTCTTAAACGATATACATATTATAAATGCATTTAAATTCGCCATGATACCCTGTGTACTTAAATATGTTATCAAATAATAAAGACTGATAAATATACTTCAAAATTTATTGGATTTCTTTTTACCTCGCAGGGATGGTTTCGAAAGATCTGTTAATAATTCCCAGAACACTAATAGGTGAATGCAACCAGCATATCAAAAGAGCAGTAATATTATTATTTATTTATAACAGTTGAATTGCCGGATAATTTTTTTCAAGTAATGAAATTTTTGTCCATCCAAAATGTATACATCATGAGAGAATGCTGTAGTTCTCTATAATTTTACATTATATCTATATCACAATTTTATAAGCAATTCTTTGCTGAAACACTTATTTATTCGAAACTACAGTTCTTACGGTTGATCGAACAGTACTGGATTTTGCTTTCATCTCATGTCGATTTAGCAGTTCTATAGGACTTTTAAGAACACTGATCATATATTTTTGTATGACACTACTATTACTTTAAAGTGTATAGCTTCATGATTAATGACTGTCAGTTGACAAGCATCTATTTTCAGATTTTACTTGATTTAATTCATCAATTACTGGATGTCAAAAAACAAAACATATCTAAATAAATGTTATTATTGGTGTTAAATCTGAAGACATGAACACTAATTATTCATGTAGGCGGTATAGAATACAGCACTAAGTTGGGGAAAAAGTCATTTTAGTTATTTTTTTGTGGGATTGAGTAAATCGTTAATAACTGTAATGGGTAGGTAGAAACGATACTCGTACTTTGTGACGGACTTAAGCTAATCACAGAAATCACAAAATTTAAACCAAACTAGGGTTTTCCTTCAGGTGAGCAAGTGAATATAAAAAAATGAGCACTAATCAATATTCCTGAGAAAACTAATGGATAAAAACGTTTCCTAATTAGTGAACATGAGTCAACTGCGTCAACTCTAAAGTGACTAAGCGTCTACTAAAATAAATCAAGTCCTTTTATCGATGACCATGATTGGGTTATCTAGTTTTCAGTGTTGAACACATTCTCATTGATCAAATGTGCTAAGTGATCATTAATCCAAACAGTAAAAGAGTACGTATTATGTCCTCTTAACCACTAATCAAAGCCTTCTGGTAACCTCTTCGCCTCAAATATTCATCATGAAATACAGTAGCATGATTTTAAATGATCTTTGCCTATAACTTTTCGAACAACTGAATTTCATATCAGAATATGGCTAGACAAACTTATCATCAAAAGAAGCCTGTTTAATTTGTGCATTCAAATTAACTCACATAATAAACTGTTAATAAATTTTCATTTACAGTAATACATATATGTAATAAATTATAGGTCAATAAGCAAATCATATTTCTGTTAGAATATGGAAATTTACTACATGGTTCTAAACAGGTAGACGTAGCAGAGAGAATTTTATCGTCGCTAAGATAAGCAGAGTAAATGCAGATGTCATGAGCCGGGAAGTTGAAATAAAGGGCAAGTAGCATGATATATATAACTTTAAATAGCTTTTAAAATGACCCTTATATGTAATTTTAGAGTTTAACACTAACCGTATTGTATTTTAAATCAATATCCATGCATATATATTTTTTATCAGGACTGTAAACCTATTCTATGGGTACTGTTTCTCCCTCATATGATCTCCAATGAATTAGATCGCGTCTTTGTTTTATATAGTAGGTTTCAAAATACCTAGTTCACTACATCTTACCATCAGGATTAAAAATATATAAAAAATAAATACACTTTGTATTGCACATTTTACATGCGTTCATAACGCTAAATTCTATTTCATAATTTGTAAAGAAGTGAATCAAATGAAGTTCCCAAGGACTGTGACCATTATTCATATTAATTTAAAAATAGGCTACATAGTAATATGACTGACATTTAAAAAATCGGACTCCAAATAAATATGTTATCAGTATCACATTTATTGCAAGGATTAAAGTTCCTGTTGCATGTTATTGTAGGCCAGCTTTACAACTTGTTTAGGTGACTATAAAACTAGAATAAAAAGAGTCCTCTGTTTGTTCTTAACCTTAAATAGTTCTTTATATAATTTTAATTTTTAAAGGAACGTTTTTTTTTCTGAATCATTAGGATTCACCAACCAAGAACAGAAAACATTTATTCACTAAATTTTTAAAAAAAATTAAATAGGTCAAAGACTTACAAAGGAAATCCTTCTAGAAAGTAACAGTTTTGTCAATACCTTTGTTAAATAAAATAAAGACAGACATCGACTGACCTCTTCAGTATTTATAAGGTATGTGATAGCCAATTACACTTTTAAACGTGCATGTGTACTAGGCGAAGTAAAGTAAATAGATAGTAGAATAAATTTAACTAATAACTATGTTTCACAACGGCAACAAATGCGCTTTTTTTCCTAATTCCCAATATTTAATTGTGATGATTCATATACAAGTAAGAGGTCATTACTACTCGTTGATTACACAATTATATACCAACATCAGCTGATGCAGTATTTAAATCTGTAAATAAATAGCTACGAATAAGAATCGACAATCAACTAACAAATTAACAAAAGATTCATCAGAAATGACAAAAATAAAAGACAAACAATCATTTTTCCCCATATGTATGTATATATAATTCAATTTATTTGGCCATATCTGTTTATTTCAATCTTTATTGCTTGTTATTGTTGTCGACACAACAGTCCTGTTCGCATACACTTAGTTATTTTTTTAGGCTTAATTACTCATCATTATTTTTTGTAAAGATTTTTCATTTTACAAAAAACATTTTTAAGATTGTATTAAAGGACAGTACTGTATATGGATAAGTGTATGTTAAGCGGTGTATGATTGAATAATACAAAATAAGTGATTAAGTGAGACTTTGACGAATACAGTTGTTAAACCTTTGAAGAAGAAGAAAGAAGAACACAAGATGAGAAGATAAACAGATAAACAGTATTTAAAGAAATACACAATATCACTTAGTTATATTAATATAACAATAATAAGTTATGACCATAGTATTCTTCTACTCTTCAATCACGTTTTTATCACAACACTTGACCGATTTGTAAAAAATTAAAGCTGTATTACGTTAAATATTTTGTCCCAATGTGAACTATTGTACAATGTAATACAAAACAACTATCATATAACTTTCACTAGTGACCAAGAGGTTCTACTACTGTTAGAATTTCAATGACTTTTTTCAGTATGTCTTTATTCAGCTAATATCAAACTGAAGAATCTATAAATGAAATCTTGTATGTTCAATAATTTTTTTGTAGTCTATTGAAACTTAAAACGATCTTCAATGATAAGCCTCAAGTATAGATTATAAAAAATTTTGTGACAATTATTTGTACATTTTTGTTTTTGTAAACAAAATACTTTTGTTAAATCTAACTTACAGAGGAAGTAAAAAGTCGATGGTTACATAACATTATAAATTTTAACATAATGATAAGAATTTCAGGATCACTGGAAAGACCTAACAATAAATAGTATTTTTATTAGTTTAATTCAATATTTATATGATTGTGCCCATTTCAAGGTTTTCTAGGTTGAATTAAAAATCTTGGAAATTAATAACTTACATCCCATCATTTATTTAATAGAAAAAACACGTTTGTTTAACTTTTATTCAAATTGCGTAAAATCCTTATTAATAAATTATTAGGTGCCAACAGAAATGCACTCAATTGACACCTGATAAAAATATTATCACATTTAACTTCAATTAAAAGTAAAAAAAGTTGCCTTACAGTGATTTAATTAAAACTTTAATCTTACTGTTTAAAAATCCATTCGTTTTATTCAGTTACACTCTACTACTCTAGGAAACAAAATAACTATCAAGATACAAAAAATCTCAATTGCGTTATTAGCTATGGTTAGTGAGAAAAGTAAATATATTCAAATATAAGTTAAAAATCAATTCATTTCGCTATAAAAACCCTTAAATTCTTTAAATATGAACAAATACTGTTTAACCCCTATAACACAGTCATCAATCAATTCAGAATTATACTATAACTGTACACATTTTTATGTTAATCTATAAATAACACAATAACTTGAATAATCGTTTTCTTTTTTGTTGTATTTTATAATCCCAGCAAATTACCTACTCGTTTTTTTTAATTAATTATTCATTATTATCATCTGATTTATTACTTTATCTCGTAACACTTAATGCATATAATTCATCATTATTTATCATATACCAAGACTATCTATTATTCATCTTATGTTTATCCAATGTAAAAATTAGGGTAGTTACACAATACAAAACAAATATATATATATATATATATATATATAAATTGCCCATAAAACGTTAAGTGAAAATACATATTACTAGCCACTTTCTTAGCCGTTTGCGTTTACTGAAAAAAAATTTTGGCGACTAGTTTAGAGCATTCAACTTTTGGTATATATTTGTCAAAAGAATATACAACTAATAAACATTCACTAAACTAAGCAACATTATTAACACTGTTCAAGGTTGCCCCCCCCCCAAAAAAGAAAGGTGGAAAAAAAATAATTTTATGAAACAGTATTCATTTAAGTGTAACTAACTACAGGTATATACATTAACATATACTTTATAAAACAGTTGTTATTATTTTTCTGATTCTAGACAAACATAATATCAACAACGGAAATAACAATAACAAACAGCTTATGACAGTATTTTGTGACTGAATGAAAATACACTTAAATATGGTGCCAAAACTAATTTATTATACACAATCACATATATGTATAACTGCAAGTAATAAATAGACAACATCGTCAATTTGTTATTAATAGTAATAATAATGATAATAATACCTTATTTAAAATTTTCTATTTCAGTGTAATTAAGTTCGTATGTTATTTCAGGAAGTTTTGCTATCTTTTGAGATGATTGATCTACTGAGACTTTACAACATTGATAATCTAGCATAACTATAATTTTGAAATAAAAATAAATCCAATTATTTCATGATGTAAATGACTAATTTAAACGTTTACAGGACTTTGAAGATGAAACTGTACATGACTACATTATTATTCAAATCGAAGACTAACTTTGACAATCCAGAAATTTATTAATCTCAATTCAATGTTACACTTAGTACTTTGGTTAGAAATTTATTTTCTCGATATAAGCTTGATAAGCTGTTCAAAGTGTTTCATAACTGTATAAATTTGTTTTAACAACCTTCTTTATATTAGCTACACGAACTTAACTGTCATATTAGATAAACTACATGCAACAGTTCACAAAATTATATAAGCTTCATTTATTGCTATGTTGCTGGGAGTGCAGGCAACAAATTCACACCAGTCACTTTAACTATTCAAGATCCTCCAAAACTAAGTATATTGTGCATCTAATTCCATTATGGAGAAGATTTATAGCTCAGGTGGGTGATTTTGATGGAGTTTTGTTCACTGAGCTCGATGGTTTGGTCGTGTCATATCTTTTCTAGTTCTGAGATCCTTTAAAGCGTTTTGTTCTTGTGGGGCCAGTTGGTTGTTGTCCTTCATCCGTTAAGTTAGCGGTACTATAGTTCGCCTTAATTCTTGTTGCATTTCTTTACTTATTCGGGAAGTTATGAGTGATGATTCTAGTGCCGCGAAAAATTCCAGTTTCGAACCGTCACTTGTATTGTAGTTTAATCCTTTTCGGGGTAGGTGTTCTTCTATACTTGTTAGTGATCGTTTTGACAAGTTGACCACTCAGTTGTTTGTGTTTTCTTCCATGGGTGGTTTTGTATTCTTGATTAGTTTCTTTTTTAGGGTGTTTCTTCTTTGTTCTTTGTGTCGTTTGCATGATGTCTCGATGGCTGTTGTCAAGATTTTCAAATTTTCTGACGAACAAACCATCCAGCTCAGAGAACTAAACTTCATCGAAATCCCATTGTACTAAACAGCCTGAAATCAACTGTAGTCCAAAACACAACATTATCAAAAAATTAATTATTCCTTCTTCGGATATATTTTCTTTAAGTTACATGTATTCTGCTATCTTTATATTACATGAATTTCTTGAACAGTTGACCTAAATAATCTGTGCAAACTTGACTATCATTGAATCTTTGTACAGCGTTAATTTTAAAGTGAATTCAGTAACGACGTATTGAAATGCCAATAGTTTAAAACAAAGGCAAAACTGAAATTCGATTCGCTTTCATCCAAACTGATTTCGGTTCACTTAAAGAAAGGTAAATTTTAATAACTGTAATTATTATCTTGTATATTGAGAAAAAGGGTAATGAAATAGGTAACACAACCAGCTTAACCTTATTTTCTGGAAATATATTTTCAACAGGATAGTCTTTTTTCTTGTTCATAATAGTGTTGTTTAGTTTAATCGAAGAAGCTCATATTCAGTCTGCACAGAATCATTAACATTAGAGAGGAAGAATGTATTTGTAAAATCTCATCGAAAGAATCTGAAGTAAATCTAACGTTTCGCCTGGCAATGTGGTCCAAGCTTTTTCAAGGAATCATTAACAGTTATCTGAACATAAAAACTACACAAATCTGTAACAAAAGTGTATACACCTTGATATATCCAAATTAAAAGATTTGTAACTGTTAGCATTTGAAGAATGTATTCATGATGTGTTTGTTTCATATTCTGCACCCGCTGGTATGCAAACGTGAAATATTATTGAAATAAAATGATAAACCTCAATTAACAATCGAGTTATTCATAATAATCAGCATTCACTTAATCTGGTCGGAATCACTTGATGAAAGTAAAATGCAAATTAATTTTGTCACATTATTAAAACTATAAATGTATGTAACCCTGCATACATGAGTAAGTATGCATACTTAAAAACACTGAAAAATCAGAACTTTAA